TTTAAATAATTTTTTAGTTTTAGATGGACATAATATCTTTTATTTATTTATTTGTTTGTTTGTTTCTTTATGTGGTGCTAAGGGTTGAACCCAGGGCCTCATAAGTGCGACGCAAGTGCTCTACCACTGAGCTACAACCCCAGCCCAAGTATGACTGTGTCTTAATGAAAAATTAGATCCTGGGGCTGGGGATGTGGCTCAAGCAGTAGCGCGCTCGCCTGGCATGCGTGTGGCTCGGGTTCAATCCTCAGCACCACATACAGGGATGTTGTGTCCACTGAAAACTAAAAAATAAATATTAAAAAATTTTCTCTCTCTCTCTCAAAAAAAAAAAAAAGAAAAGAAAAATTAGATCCTTGTGCTTAACACTTTATAAGCAGGCTGCCTGTAATCCATTGTGCTTTTTTATCAGAGGAAGTTTTACAGCACAATGGTTCATGTGCATCTTGTTATAGGAGTGAACCCTCTGTGAAGCATGGTCTGCAACCTGAGCAGAGTCAGAATGTCAGGCCTGACTTGCAACTGTCTCCTGTGAGGCTCACACAGCTGCAGCTTCTACAGGGAGACTACTCTCTGCTTCCGTTTGGGGTGCGAGGGTTGACAGAAGGAGTGGCAGAAGGAAAGAATACTTTGAATAGTTTTCTTCAAAACATATCACCATGTCTGACAGTGTCTCTCACTAGACCGTCAGAACAGCAGGGGCCACATCTACTGGATACTCCAAAGAGAAAAGGCAACATATATTGGTATTTTAGAAATATGACAGGATGTTTTAGAAATGGAATAAAAGAAGCACACGAATCAATATAGACACAAACAAGCATAAAATATGCATGCATTTGCATGCACACAGAGATAGAAAAAGCTAGAGGTTACTTCATTGAATGACTGATTCATTCAAGAAAAATAAGTCAGTTTGAGGTGAACAGCATTGCCACTTACCCTGGTCTAATCATTGCACATTGTATACATGTACTGAAATATCACACTGTACCTCATAAATATGTACACTTATGTTGAGAGCCACAGCAGAAGGGACTCCAGCAAACTTCCAGCTGATTGGCTCACATAGGCCCCAGCAAAATTCCAGCTGCCAGCTGATTGGCTCCTCTGCGGTGATGCTCATTGGGCTGTTTCCCCACCCTTTCAGACCACGGAGCTGCTCATTGGGGGACTCTTTTGGCTCTGCCCACGCAACCCAGCCAATCGGCCTCAAGAGCAGGAGGAGTGGGGGTTGAGAGGCTCACCGGAAGCCAGTGGTGGCAGTTAGGCTCTGAGGGAATTCCTGAAGAGCTCATGTGGTGCAGCATGTGTGTTCTAAAAATAAAGTTCGTTTCTGTTTGATAAGTGGCTCGTAAATTGTGCCCAGCCAGACTGCTGCATTTGATGGCAGGTACGGGGATCAAACCCGCGACCATCTTTTAAACAATTTTGCTCATCATTTGGCATTACTCATATCACAGGAATCCCATACAATCCACAGGGACAAGGCATAGTTGAAAGAGCTCATCAAACTATTAAAATGTACTTATTAAAGCAAAAAGAGGGAATTGGAAAGGGGTATATATCGCCCAACGATAAACTTAAAATAACCCTTTTTACTCTAAACTTTTTAAATTTGGATTCATCAGGGCTTAGTGCTGCGGAAAGGCATATGTGTCCAAAAAATGTACATAAGCCCAAGGTACTTTGGAAGGATATTCTAACAGGACAATGAAAAGGTCCTGACCCAGTGATTGTCTGGAGTTGGAGGTCTGTTTGTGTGTTTCCACAGGGAGAACAGCAGCCGATTTGGATTCCAGAGAGATTAACTAAAGCAATTTCTACAGACCAAAAAGAAGATGATTTGGCTCAAATCCATAACAGCTGATATCCAGAACTCCAGTTTGGCTATCCTTACATCTGCAACAGGGTTCTCCCACACCTGGAGGTTAATGAAACTAGGATGCTTTTTTCAATATCTATGTTATTATTGCCCTTTCCCACATCATAAAGTTCTATTTTGTTTTTTGAGCTCATACAGACCTAGTTTAATGTTTTGCTGATCAGTTCTATTTTTTAACTATGGAGTTTTTAAACATTGCAATGGAGATTTCACCTGTAAAAAGTTACAAGGCCTTTACTATTATGTTATGTGTTGTATGTATTATATTATGTGTACACACATGTGTTTTGTGTTGTATGTTTGTATGTGCATATGTCCATATATCATATATGATGAGCGTTCATGAAAAAATGGATCCAAATATTTTTTTTCTTATTCATGTGATTTAAATGGTTTAATTTAAATTGGATAAACAGGTGTTGAGGATTGTTTTAATATGTGAACAAAAAAGGAGGTTAACAGATCTGTTTGTTTACTTTCACCTTTCCTTTTATTTAATAATTCTGTTCAGGATAATGTAAATTGTTCAGAAAATTGTTTTCTTTTAGTGCCTGCTGGAATGTTACATAATTTTTTCTTTAGCCATTATTGCCAAAATTCCTATCTTCATCCCAGTGCCAGTGAATACAAAGGTAAAACCAATCTACAGTTTCTGCAATAGCTATCACTGAACTGCTTGCAGAACTTGCCTGGACTATGTATCACTTATATGCATTGTGAACTATCTGTTGGTGCAGTGGCTTGTGGTAGTGCTGGGGTATTTTTGCTGATGGTGTCATTGGTGGTACAATTTTTCCAAAAGGATCCGTCAATTGGCTTGGTGTATCCTCCTCCCTTCTGCTTGTGATGGTCGTTCAGCTAAAATTTGGGGGCCAACAGAGGTGAGGCAAAGAACCTCACCCCCCGACGCTTGTACAAAGACCTATCCACAGGTGTGGCTGTATGCTGGACCGGTAGTCAATGAAGGGTAAGATCCAATTGCAATGGTTCCAATCTAAGACAGGAATCTGACGCCTTGAGGTCAGCTCATCCGATGACGGGTAAGGACAATATGTAGTATTGGACAACCTAAGGCAGGCACAGTCCCTAAGCCACATGCTTGTTGTTTAAACAGAGAGGGGGACACTTATTTATCAAATAAAAATAAAAATACATTTAAAATGTTTTTTTTAATTAAAAGAAGAAAGATATTAGAATTATCCCAAGATGTCCATCAGGCAAACAGGCAAGTAAATTATAGAACAGCTTAAAAATAGAGGGAAAATATTTTAAGTATGCCTATTATATGCCAGGTGTTTTCACATTATCTTACTTAATTCTCCCTATCAATTGCTCTTTTAGATAAGAATCATCATCTCCAATTTATGGAAGACCAAATAAAAAGGCCATAAAAGGCACCTAAATTGCCCTGAGACACAAAGCCAGTAAAAAGCAAAGCTAAGATTCATATCCAGGTTTTTTGACTCTGCCCAGTGTTTCTTTCACTGCATCCCAGACTTTCTCCCAAAACCCATATTTGGATTAGGTCAATAAACAGAATTATAAAGTTATATTAAATAAAAAACAAAACAGAAGATACATGGTAGATAGATATATTGATTTTAATCCTGAAATTTTATATGTATATACTGAAAATGATAAGCAGAATGAGACTGATAGAAATAACTGAAATTAAAGTAATCAGAACTTGGTTTTTCTCTGAGCTTGTTTAAGGATAAAACAAATAAAATCACAAATATTTGATCCTCCATGTATGCCTGCTATTCTAAGTTAATAAGGTTAAAAAGAGGTAATAAGAAAGGGGGACTGTGATTGTACAAGATTGAGAGAAACATCTTGTCCATCATAAAGTTCCCAGCTCCTGCAGAGCCAAAGTGGCTGCACTGTTTCTTAGTTATGTCAAGGAATGGATATATCAAGGGATTTCACTTTGAGAGCAAGTTCATATTTTCAGAAATCTTTTTCTTAAAATTAGCTCATATGCTATATAACATTCTTTAAATTCTTTCTTCAATGAAAAGAATTTAATTCTGAGTGAGCATATATCATCTTCATAATCTTCCTCGTCTTGATGCTCAGATTTGGGGGTTACACTGCTGCTTAACGGAGTGGGCAGACCCAAGCATGGTTCTCACCTGGGCCTTCATATTGTGCTGTAACTTGAAGAAATAACTAGGGAGGGCCTTGAGCACAAGTTTCCTCCTCCAAAGAGTATCTAAAAATTCCCATGAGACACTGCCCTTCCAGAGACAAGCTGAGAAAAGGCTCACTGATTCGCACAGTCGTATGTGCAAGATGCCACTTTGATCTCACCCCATGGACAGAATTAGAGGATCTAAGTCTTCTAATTCAGGAACACAGTAGAAGGATGACATGTTGATCTAGGTTTTCTGAGATTGTTTTTTAAAAGGGAAACGGCTTAGAAATACCAGTGTCAGTTTCTTTGAGGAAAGTTTTTCTTTGTAACAACAACAAAATGGAAGTAAAGTTCTTTAACTTCTTTCCCTTAAAACTAGTTTTGTTTTCATAATAATAACCTCCCTAGATTCTCTTTTGTTCTCAAACTTTTACCTACTTTCATTTTTCTTGATTCTTATGTTGACTACAAGTAATAAAGTGCCCTGATTCTCAAGAATATAGGAAAATGCTTGAAATGACTACATAAGAACACACTCATAATATTACTGAACTTAACAATTTGAGCTATTTTCAAATCTTCCTCACCACTACACACAAAAAGAGTTAGTTAATTAAAATGGCTGATCTCTTACTGCTTGCCAGCTAGAGTCCCAAAGTTTTTTAATAAGGACATCTATTGATTTTTTTTCATGTGCCAGTCACTACATTAAAAGCTTTGCATGAATTATTTCATTTGATTCTCAGAGTAATTTTAAGTTCTTTTGAAGACTGTTATTGTTATGTTATAGATGAGGAACAATGGCAAAGAACTGGAGTGACTTGTCTAAGGTCATTCATCCAGTCAGCTGGGAATTGGTCCAGGCACACAGGGACCCTCACACCATAACTGGCTGCCTCTGCTGGGTCTATTCAGTTGGCTCCCACAGCTCCCAGCCATAACCACAGCCACTGACCCCAAACACAAATTCAAACTCACATCTCGCATCATTTTCACTGCTTCCCTGGTCCTCCCGAGCCTTCTGGCACACATCGCTAGCCTTCTTTTGATGTAGACCAAAACGTTGGTGTCTCGTCCTGAATAGGGAGATATAAAACACCAAAAATTTAAAAACAAGACTTTCAGTTCAGCAGCAAGAAAAAATGCAGAGGCTCATTTACTTTGCCCTAAAAAAAAAAAAAAAAAAACAACCTCAGTGAGAAGAGATTGTGCCTGTGGCTTTTCCTTAGTGCCAGGAGCAATGACAACTTTGTTAAGGGCAGGATGGAACCAGACTGAAGTCAAAGAACTCAGACTCTCAAAGGCCAAATCATCTTACTTGTTACCAAAATCCACGCTTTTGAGTTTGGATGCTGAATATTTGATAATAAATAAAATCATCCGTCACTAAGTGCTGGGAAAATTAACATACCCACATTGCATTTGGTTTACAAGCAAGAGTTCTACATACTTCCAGTGTACATGCTTTTGGTAAAAATGCAAAAAAGGTGAATCCCAGGTTGCATATTGATGAACTATTTTTTTTTTATTCTTGACATTTAGTCTGGAGAAGCCTCATGTTGAACTTCTGTTTCATATTATTCTTTCTCTAACACTAGTGACATCATAATCATCTCCAGGTCCCCAAAGCAGTCGATTTTAGATGACAATATAACACATTCCAGATATGACAATAGAGTATGCACCAAAATGAAAACCTACCCTAGTGTTGGAGAAAGCATTGACAAGTTAAATAGTTATAACAATAGTCACTAAAATGGCCCTTAAAAAGTACATTAACAACTTCTTGTCCTAATCTTTTATTTAATTATATGTCTTTTTGGATATGTTTCCAGACTAGTGAGAACATGCATATGCTTAATCCTCAATAAAATTACCATGTTTGAGAAAAATATGACACACCTGCTATAGATTAAGTACATGTATAATATGCAGCTATTAAAAGATGTTAAGACCAAGTCTGAACATTTCAAATTTTAAACAATGAGATCAAGATGTGTGCTGAAAAACTGCCAAGGACCTACAAATTATTTTAAAGATGTGATTATATTTTTTGGATAGATTTAGGCAACAGGTTGAAAGGATTTAATTTAGAGAAAAAAAGAAAGAAAATATTCTTAAGTTGTATCACAGTTTATGTAATTTTACATATTAATTTCCATTTAGTTCACCAAGTAGACATTTATTACATATCTTCAAAAATGCAATGAGTTATACTTTTTTTAAAAAAGTCAGATATAGATGTTAATTAGAGACCTCCTTAACATATACACTCACTGCAGAATAAAAATTAAAACCTGTGTATTGGTGGATTTTATGGGCATATTTATGTATGTACAGACTGTAATGCAAGGATCTTACTGGCACCTTAGTCATAGAGACTAATACAGTCAGCACCTACAATAAATCCAAGTTCAATATTAACATTTAATTGTATAATCTCAAGTAGAAAGGAGGTACACTTCTACTCTGCAAATTGAAGGAGAGAGAAATGATGTGAGAAATTCCACCTTAAAGAAATAGTGTAAATTTTGGTGAAACCATACAAACTTTTCTCCCACAAGAATCACTGAATTTCTTTTTAAATAACCAAGAAAGATGAGACAGGTGCTTAGGGAATTTCAGAAATAATTTTCTTATTTCTATACTCGTCTTCCAAAATAACACTGGCTCTCAGTTTAGTGTACTAAAATGAAAGGATTCAGATTTTAAAGAGCTATCTTAAATAAAAGAATGTGTTGTTTTTATTGTAAAAACAGTTAACAATTAGGAACTCATGGTTCTTTCTGTCTACAAACCATCTCAAATTTTCTTAAATAAAATTTAAATGCTGATATAATTACCAATAACTGTTGTATTCTTAATGGGCCTATATCATATCATGCTATAGAAGACCTATAATATAAAAACTTTGATAACATTAACACTGACTTAAGTTTTGTTTCCAAACTTAAAGATAAGAGAGAAGCAACTGACAAGCAGAAATATGTAAGAATTCTGGAGCGAAACAAGAATACTGTTAAAGTTTACTGACATCTATTTCTTGCATTGGGAGTCTACAGCCAAGACAGAGAATGTGAATGTAAAGAGTAATGAAGCTAACTGTACTCTTATAAGAAGAAGAAAAAAAAAAAAAACAAGAAAAGCAAAATCCAGAATTTGTCCTCATCTAGAAGAATCAAATTTTGAACTGCACTGAAATTTTGCTCTGATTAATCATTTGCAATTCTGATACCCCAATGCATCAGCCTGAAAAAAACCTTACTATGTTGGGCTTCATACTGGGATCCATGATGCTGTAGCTGCTGAGAACGCCGGTAACAGCCATCTCCAGCCTTCAGGGCCTGCTTAAACAGTTTTTCTGCTTCAGCAATGGTTGTAGCTTCCTCTTCAGCCAAGAGAATATAAGCAGTTGCACACCTGTCCATTTAGATAATAACCACCATCAATTACAAATCCAAGGACATGGTCACAGACTGGAGGAGTTCATGCAGAAGGGCAAGGAGTTACGCCAAAACATGCAGAGTGGCCAACTGGTTCATGCACCTGTTTGTAGCTGTTGACACAAAATAATGGCACGAAGGAAACGTCTATATTTTAGCTTGAGAAGAAGGATGCTTAGTGTTAGGAGCATGGGGCTCATATACGGACGCTGCCCCTTATTAGTGCGTCACTTTGGGCAAGTTATTACTCTGCCTCCCTGATGAAGGGTGATGTGGAATCTGTTGTTTCATTGTGAGGGTTAAATAAGGGGATTCATGTGAAGTGCTCATCAGTACAGTAGCCAGCATGTGGTTTGTGCTCAACAAATGTCAGCTACTAATGGTGAGGATAAGAGTTATTACTAAGTATCTCTTTCTGACACTGAAAGTTAGAGGTATTTCATTAAAGTTTACTTTTGTTTATTAAATGTAAATCCTCTTCAATTCAAGAATTTCATCAGAGTGAGAAATTCCTTAAATCAAGTTACTCATTTATGAAAATAGTGCTTCAATGTCTCATAATAGCACTGATTTTTTTTTCTTCAGAAACTACTAGAAAAACCTACATATAATGTATTGTTCCTAAAGAGCTTGAAATCTGACTCAGCCACAGTAGCTAAAAAGAGTTAAATCTCATACCTTTGACAACTAGCTGCCCTTTGTTGCTTGGTATATATTAAGCACTGTAACAGGTGCTTAACATGTATCATCTCATATAATCCTTTCAACAAACCTCTAAGGCAGGAAGCCAGAAAGGATATGCAATTAACTCATGAACAAGTGGGACTCTTGGACATTTAAACCTCCCAATCATACAAGGAACAACCCATTTCCAAGGAAGGGAATGTAGTAAGGAAATGGTGAGGCCAGAGCAGATCACTCAGGTCCTGATCTGCACCACCCAGTCTCCCCCTTCTTCCCCACTGCCTCTTTGCAGCCATTTTCCTGCATATCTCCATCAGACCCCAAGAGAGAAAATAAACATAAAGTAAGACCAAATGTTATTTTTACTATTAATTAACTGCCACAGCCAACTAGGAAAAGGAGCCTGAACTTAACAGCTAATGTGAGGTTTGGGGTCACTAGTTAATCTCAGTCTTAAGGAGGGGTCTGGTAAGTTCCTTAGTCAACCCATCTACTTTCAGGCAGGAACTATTAAGTTGGTTTTAAACTGAAGGCGAAAAAAATGCCCAAGGGGATTAAAAAAAAAAATCTGGATAACCAGTTACTATGGAGGGCAGCATATATGACTGAGAAAGAACAGGAATGATGCTGAAACTGTCCAGTGATTCACTGGAGAAAACAATTGGGGCAGGCATCAGAGGATATACTTAAGGCTTCAGATGCCGACATATAAATATGGGTCAAGGGTAATGAAGTGAAAATTGAGCTTATAATACTGAGTGGTAGATAGAGCATCGGAGGAATTAGGTCTAAGGCTGCAGTGGGTGGGCTGGGAACTCAAGAATGGTTGGGGCTAGCTTGCTTGCTTCTCATATTTATATTTGAAACAGTATTCTTAGGAGGAGAGGCAGAGTAGAACTACTGGCCAAGAAACATACATCTATGTGGAAACTCATGAGTTTGGGGTAGAAACATGCTAAGAGCTTGTGAGTGAAGGAAAGAGGAGAGAGCAATAGAAGTGCTAATGGTTGGGGAGTACAGAACAGACTGCTCAGCTCAATGGAAGAGGTAGATGATGCGTCCTGGTCACAACACAATACACAAACAGAAGCAAGAAAGTGTGGTGATGGGGGTGTCAACCATCCAGATGTCTGCTAGAAGTCTCATTTGGTTAGAAGTAGGGCACCCGACAGGTTCTTGACTTACTTTGGTAACAATTTTATCTCCCAGATGGTAGAGGAAGCAATTAGGGGAACTTCAACTCTGGACCTAATTCTGACCAAGAAGAAAAAAATAGTTGGTGAAATGGAAATCCATAGGAACATTCAGAGAGAGTCACTATGTCATTTTGGAGTTCAGGGTAATCAAAGAGGGGGAGGTAGACTTCAAAAAATTCAAAGAAAAGAGGCATGACTTAATGGCATGAGACTCAGAAGGAAAAATGGTTTAAGAGGATTAAGCAGCTTCCAAATGTAAAACTATATAACTACAATCACCAATGACTCTCGGGAAGAAAGGGGTGGCACATAAGTAACCAAAACACAGCTTCACAGAGATGTCTCCCAGGTCAGAGTTTTTAAAGGACATGTAAAAAAAAGATGGAAAGAGAGCATGTAATGAAGGGTTGCAAGAGAGTGGGGTGAATTCATAAGAATAAAATCAGGAGTGCTAAAACTCCAAATTATCTGAGGCTTTGTCCCCACCAAATAAAAAGACAAAAAAACAAAATGAACAAACCACTAACACACACACACACACACACACACACAAACAAACAAAACCAAAAATCAGTTTTAAAATAACTAATACAATTATCTATTCCCTACTTTAAAATTAGATTTAAGGCCCCATCACCATCCCCACTTCTCCAAAACCACAACAAAAAGCAACAGAAAAAGACAAACACCATCAGCAACACAGAGAAAGTTCATGCTTAACAGCAGTAGATACCAGAGAGAAAGCAGACACTCTCTCCTACCCATCTTGCACCTGGCTTCTCTATCAAGGAAAATGTTTGTCAGACTGAAAAGGGGGAAAGAAATTAAACTCTAAAATGAGTAAAAAGATGTAAGATAGCAAATAACTGATCCATCTGAACAAACTTCTGTATTGGGATGGATGAATCCCAGGAAACCAACAGACCTTGCAGGCAGGCCATGGAATTGCTCCCTATGGAGATAGCTCCATAGGATAGAAATCACAAAGAATGGAGAGGCACTCGAAGATGAGATGACAAATGTAGTATAGCTTTTCAAAAAGGGGAAGAAGGCTAACTTCCCAAACTACAGAGAAGTAATTTGAAACAATATTCTCATTATTAAAGAGATGGTCTCCAAGCACATTAAAAAGAAAGCAGTAACCACTCGAAGCCAGCTTAAATTCCCTAAGAATAAATAAGTTGTTCTAACATAGTTTTTCATAGTAGATTTATTATGAATTAAAGATCCACAGCTACAACTGGCATTAAGAGCAAATGGAAAATATGGGCTGAATCACAGTATAACTGGGTGGCTCAGTAATCATTTGAATAATACCAAGAATGGTGACTCATGAAGATATGGACCTACAACATAGTTTCTATATGTCATGTCACAGGGTTCTACTCTTGGCCCTGATAGTTTGCTCAGAAACATGATGAAACACAGAAGGCAGGCATATCAAATTTGTAGATGACAAGAAAGTGGAAAGTAAATATGTTGCATGACAGAATCAGAAACCATTTAGATCAACTGATTACAATGGCAGAATTCCCAAGTCTCAAGTGAATCTTTTTTCTTTTCTCTTTAAGACCTCTGGAGAAGATTCTGTAACCTTCTTCAGAAAAATCATAAAATAGTTTAACAATGACCACTTGGCAAGGATAATCTCGAGGTGATTCAAGCACCAGATGGGTGGTTGAGCTAAGTGACCTTTAAGGTCTTTGCCAACCCTAAGTTTTTATGACTCTAACTTTAAGAATCTTTCTCATTTTCTGAGATCTCCAGAAGAGATTTCCCAGCCTTCCTTGGTAACCCATAGCATGTTAAACAACACCAAGGACAGCATTTCCTCTTATCTTTTGCCTTGACTGTAAAATAATTTTAATGTTATTTTTTTCACCTTATGACTTTATTATGTCTCCCCACTACTGGAAGTCCTACCTGGAAAATGTGATAGTACAGAGAAGCATTCTACATCTGGAAAAATTTCCCTTTCAAAATATTTTAGACATGTAAAGAACTGTATTTATTTTATCTGGTCACAACATCCCTAAAAGGATTTAATTTAGGGTCCTAAAACAAAGCTACTACACTGCTCTCTAAAATGATGAAAACCACCTCCACATGGCTATCCTTCATAAAAAGAAAATTTTATAAAATAATATCCCCCAAATAATCCTCTAATGTCATACATAGTTTAATGGAAGCATCCCATCAATGGGAACCAAATATATTAAGCAAAAGATGAAAGTTCCTCTTTAACAGCAAGATTTTCCCTCCACTTACTCATTTATCTCCAAGGCTTCATGGGCTGCAGAAATCCTAGCTTGGGGGTTTCTCTCTCTCCAGGCTTTCTGCATTACTACGTTAGAGAAAGAGGAAAAAAGCAAGTCAATCAGTACATATAATTAGGAAGATTCAATACAGAACAACATAAAAAGTAATAGCTTTCAGCTTAAAGTTACAAGAGACTTTCATTACCAATAGGGTCAGCCCAAATTTACAAAGTCACACAAATATATTCTAATTTTCTATTTCATTGCTGATACTGAACTTTTTTGTGTGCTCATATAACTGTAAAACTAAATCTTATAGACTGAAAACATCAAGAAAAGGCATCCTAACAGATTTTATTTCTTTTGCATATTAATATCATTTCTTGTTAAGAGAATACATATGATTTTACATATTTTAAAATGTCCATTGCTACTAATTTCTTCATTCTACTTAGATGCAAAATAATTTCTATCTGTCATTTTCCTACATACTTGCTACAGGATCTAGATATTAGAACATTCTGAAACCATTTGAAGAATTAGGAGTTGGGTCATTAAGAGGTGCATTAGGCTTTTGCTTAACATGTGTATTTATTCCTCAATTTTGTCTGCAAATCTAGTTTCTATATGTCAAAGCAGTGTGTGACTATATTGTAAGAAGCTTAATGCTTGGTAACCTTTATACTATGATGTTCCACCATGGCAAAGAGTAACTAAAAAACAAAGAATAATCATCTCCTTCCTTAATTTGTTTGATAAATTTGTATTCTATAAGTCAGTTTTTTAAGGGCATATAGAACTTTCTGTTTAAGAAGCTTTTGTTCTATTTACTTTGACTAAGCTTAGCAATACAAATTATATCACCAGGATTATTTGTAACTTAAGCAGGGTAAAATACATGCTTAACCAAGTCTCTCTAGGAAGGAAAACACATACAGACTCTAGTAGACAAGGCCACAACCCCACTCAAAATTAGGGGACTTAAATAGGCATTTAAGTTACTAAAATGTATTCATTAATCATTTAGATTCCATGAATCCCAACTTCTAGTTAGAATATCATCAAGGCAATATGACCTTTCCATCTCAACCATGAATTTTATTAGCTTCAGGTAAGATTTACATGTTTTCAAAATTTATCCATCCAACTTTGATACATTTTTTAAAAATCATGTTCTAAATTATAATAAGCCTCATTTCTACATTGATACTTCATTGTAGATAAAGCTTTCAGCATTAGAATTCTAGGTTCTACTGTCAATCAGCAATTTAATATTTTATTTATTGGGCTTTTATAGAGCAGATATTCTAAAAGCAGAAACTATGGTTCTTAAACAAGATGAAAAACCCTCTCTCCCAGTGACTATCTGAAGAATTTTCCATACTTGCATCTGCAGGACGCAGATGGTCAGAGTCACAAGTAAAGAATGTCTGATGGTCTTGCGCAGAAAGATTCATGTCATAGTAAGTCAGAGGCTCTCGTCCTGTTACCCAGGTGTACCTGTAAAGAGGAAGGAAGATAGTCAGACAGTTCTGAGGGAAGAAAGCAAGACCTATAAAATAGTAAGCTGCAGAGGAGTTGAAATATAAACCATTAACTTGTTATGATTTAAATTAAAATGGTTTTGCTAATGAAAATTTTTAAAAAACAATTTAAATCATCTTGTTCTTCCTTCAGGAATTATATAGCAGAAAAGAAGCAAACATTTCCCTCTCTATTTTTGCCTTAAAATTTTACTAGTCCTTGCTATTGAAAACCTTCCCTAATTAATATTATGAATAGACATTTCCCCAAAACTACGAACAAAAGAAAATTCTGACTTGCCTGATTTACTTCACTAAATTAAATTCCAACATAACCTGTCTGGTACTTTATACCCATGTTCCAGGTAAGCTTAAAAATGTTTTGATTGTATAATATAATACTGAAACGAATGACTGTAGTAGAAAATATATAAAAACAATACATTTTTGTATATCATCTCAAATCCTGTGCTAACCTAATTATGAAACAGAAAAATCAAAACATTTTAATATTTTTGAAAAAATGGAAGCACTAAACACTGTAACATGACCCCTAAATGAACCAGCAAAAACATTTGCTGCTGTCTTTTCTCTCTGAACCAGACTCACTTGTTTCCCAAGCTGTCAAAATGCTTACCGATTATATTCAGCACCCCTAAATAAATTTAGTGGATTTCTCCATACTTTGCATTCTGAAACAAAGAGAAATATGAAAATGTTACACATAAGTTCAATGACATTAGAAGCTAATTAACTTGACAAAACACCCTTCCTGGTCATTTGATAAGATAATTTTATTTTCTATCCTTTACAGGGAAGCTATGTAGAAAAATTCTGACAAGTTAATCAGAAAATGTGGTTTAGGCAAGTTTCACCTAATCTTTCTGGGTCCAAACTTCCTCATTTGCCAAATGAAAGTACATGACAAAATCATCTAATTCATAATTTCTATAGTTATTTTGAGAAATCTAAACAGATTCTATGAAATTATTTCTAAAATTATAAGCTAAAAGTACAGGAAGAAGTAACATGCCTTTCTCTTGCTCTAAAATATGTCTCACAATAACATCACACATTACAAACTAAATGTCAGCTCTAAAATATAATACACAGAGCTTTAAACTCCTAATTGAGATTTCATGACAATTCACCAGTTTGCTTTGCCTTCCTGGAAAGTAAGAAAATTAATGAAATTATGACTATTTTAGGGAAAATGCTGTAAAAAGAAAGCATTTTTAACATCATTTACTTACTCAGACACACATGCTAATCATAACTGTAATATCTTTGTTGTTAGCTACTACGAGATTGCACCTCTTGGTCAAGGACCACAGAAATTTATAATTATAGGGCTTTGACTTAGAAAATCAATCAGGAGCTTCAAGACAGTGTTTCAGTAAGTGTGTGACTACTAAGCTCCAATTTTTTAAAACACCCTGTGATTAAGACTTTCTACTGATCCATAATAATATATTTCTTTGGATGAATATAGTTTTATTAGAAAATAAAAATATCTGTGTGTCTGTGTCTGTGTGTAAAATTAATGAAAAACACACCCAAAGACATATGCACACAAAATTATTGCAGAAATCTAAAGAACATTAAAGACCACATGGTGATTACTTAGGGTTCTATCCTCAGTCCTTCACATCTAACATTGACCTTTCATCTATCCCATGGGCATTGATGTGAGCACCAAGGGGTTATTGAGTAAAACATCAACTATAATACAGTGTGATAATGACAGGGCATAAAGCAGTATCATCTCAATAAATATTTTTTAAAATAGCAAATGAAGGGTATACACATAACAGAAACATGTGCTTTCATTTAAAGAAGATGCATTTGCCTTTAAATTAGGCTTAAATTTGCTTAATGTTTTTAAGTAATGACCCTAATTTTTTTTTTTTGTCATTTAGACTAACCTGCCATTTAGGAAATTATATTTCTTCACTTGGTGCAGTATCTCTGAATTTTGCTCTTGAAAAACTGAGATTTGTTGGCTGTCAGTTTATGTGGCACTAAATAAGAATTATGTTTCTCTTAAATACTTATTTTTTCTTCAAACATAAAGCCTCACAAAGGGGTCATGAACACACTGACTCCAGGTCATGGTTGGAGACACACTGGTGAGCCAAACAACATGATCTCTGCCCTTCTGGCTGCTGTAACTCTTTGGACCTCACCACTGCCAACCTTTCCTCAGAAAAACTCTTTCATGATTCAAATTGCTCATCTCAAAGCCTCACAAGTATTATAAGTTTGTGGTCAGCATATAGTAAACATACCCAGAGATGTATGTACAAGGATGTTCACAATAGAAAAATAGGGATATGTGGGAAGATGATTCCTCCCTATTGAATTTTATCTGAAATATCAGTAAAATGACTATGGCAAACAAATACATTATTATACAGCCTAGAAGGATAAACACTGTTCAAACAATATTTGGCAAATTAGAAAGAAAATTGACTTCAATTAAAATTTCAAATCTATTATATATCAGATGAAATTTAAAGTATTTCTAAACAAAAATAACTCTAAAGATAAACTCTGTGTGTGTGTGCGTGTGTGTGTGTGTGTGTGTGTGTGTGTGTATTTAAAGTGTTCACTGAGCAGCATGTAGACATTATTTTTATTTAGGAAGTACCATTATGTGGCCAGCAGGGGGTGCAGTAAACACTATGAAATACTGCTTTCATGACTTCTTGTTAGAGAACTGAACTTTAAAAAAAATCCTTGTTGATATTGGTGTCCTGTGATACGTATCCTGTATGCAGTTTTTTAACTGTCCCTGAAACTTAGAAATGAAGATCTAAATAACTGAATCAGATATACTCTGTTCAATGTTAAGAAAATATACATAATGTAGTACGTAAGAAATATCTTCACAAATTAAAACCTTTAAATTGAAGATGCAGGACAGGTTACTTTCTTTTAAGAAACAAGCAATCTAGAGGTCATATATTAACATAGATCAAAGTTTTGCTTTAAATTAGACCAGTGCATTTTCTTTTTTGTTCTGTTCCATCATCTTATCTTTATTACAAAAACTCTTAGTCTGGAATCAGTCTAGGGAACATGCCACATAAATATAAGGCTGCCTGATGTGGTTTAGTGATACGGACAAAGGGTGTAAATGCCAAACATATTAAAGTATGAAGATTTAAGAGAAGAAATTAAACTCAGATCTCCAAACAGGAAGAGTTTTTCCACATGTGGTCCTGTTTCTTATCTTATATGTACTTTGAGAAATAAATTCCTTATGTAAAATCAGATTTAGAATTTTACCTCCAAAAGAAATTTTACATTCTCCAATTTTCCATTAACATGCACATTTTTAGTGCAGTTGGAAAGCAATAAATGTTGGTTGGGACCCCAACAAGGGCTTACTAATGTCATTAATAGTTTAGTTATAAATAAGCCCCTGACACAAAAATATGCTTTCCCCAGTTCCATCTGCAGCTTCCATAGTACAATCTCTACCCACAACTGTTGGCAGAAATGTGTGACCACAATATGCATGCAAGAATACAATTCAAGAGAGATAAACAAGCAAGCATTGAAATAGCACCTGTTTAGTTTCCAATGTCTACAGAGCAGATTCATTCCCTTCTCAAAGTAGGACACATATAAGTTTTGGGGTGGGAGAGAAAGAACACCTAAAAATAATTCTTAGTATGATTAAGGACTTCTAAAAGCAAGCTTGCAGGAAAAAACTTACTTAGTAGGGTTAATTCCTACTAAAACTTTTCACTTCAATCATACTTACTTCATACTCTCTTATTCTTTATGCATTAACACTTGCACTAGGCCCTGACTTGCAAAAACAGATATAGCCAGGTGTGGTGGTGCCCGACTGCAATCCTAGGAAGTAGGGAGGCTGAGGCAGGAGGGGGACAAGTTGAGGCCAGCCTCAGCAGCTAAGTGTGACCCTGTTCCAAAATAAAAAAATAAGAAAAGGCTTGGGGTGTAGCTCAATGGTAGATCACTCCCTGGGGTAAATCCCCAGTATTTAAAAAAAAATGCAGATACAGCTTATGACTGTATCTGCATCTAGCTGGGGCAGGAAAGTACAAAGGGTACTGAGCCACTACCTGGCATCTCACCAAAAGAAGCTCTATAAAAGCACTAAGCTTTCTGAAAGAACCACAGACTTTCCTCTTTGTCATAGTCCTCAAGAAAAAGAGGAAATCAATTCTCAAAAAAGACAAAAGGCTCAAAGTCATAGGACTTTTAATCACATGGAAAAAACTAATTTTCTATGTCCAATTTAACTCTGAAACATTTTCTAAAATAAAAATAAATGTTAGAGAGCTTTAAACATATAAAATACTAATTCTAGCATAGTAAGATTTCCTTTTTTAATGTCTTTTTTAGTTCATTATAGTTATACATAATAGTGAAATTCATTTTGAAAATCATGGAATATAATTTGCTCCATTTCAGTCCCAAGTACTCCTCTTACTTCCTCTCCTCTCTCCCTGATTTCCCTTCCTCTATTCCATTGCTCTTCCTTCTATTTATTTTTTTTAAATTGGTATTTTATAGACACACATAAAATGAAATTCACTGTGGTATAGTCATATACATACATAACATAATTTGCTCAATTTCATTCTGCAGTTCCTCCTTCTTCCTGTACCTCCTTCCTTGCCCTCAATCCCCTTCAGCTACTCCACTGAATGGATRAAGAAAATATGGTATCTATACACAAAGGAGTTTTACTCAGCCATGAAGAAGAATGAAATTTTGGCCTTTGCTGGTAAATGGATGGAACTGGTGAACATCATCCAAGTGAAATAGGCCAGACCCAGATAGTCAAGGGTCAAATGTTTTTTTCTCATGTGCAGAAACAAGAACAAAATAAAGAGGAAAAGAGGAGACGTGGACTCCATGAGTGGAACTAAAGAAAGATTTTTTATAATAAAAACTGACCACTTTTTCCCCCAAATCTCAAATCTGACAATATTATAAACAGCAGTAGTACTAATTTTTGTTAGAGTTATAAGCTTAATTGTCATTGATCCTTTCTACAAAAGGGCTTAAAGTACAAGTCATGTTTACCCTTTACCCAAATTAGTGAGAGGCATATGTGAGACCCCTTTTACAAAAGTAAAATACTGAAAAGCCAGATAGTATCCCAAAGGTCCACAGCAAATAAGTTGAAAATGCCTGATGTCCAGACTCCTCAACTTTTACCTATGATAAGCAATAAAACTGTCAACCTGCAATACCATATTTGAAAATCCTGTGACTTCCTAACTAAATTTTCCATTAGAGGAATAGTTTTGAAAACTCCTTGGGCAAATGTTAGTGACTTCAATAATACCCTTAAGCATTTTAGGTCTAAAGTACAATATCATTGGTTGTACTTCAATCCTCAAATTAACCCAAGTTAATTTATGGCATGTGATTATGCCTGTATTCATTATTCTAGTACCTCAGACATGAATACCCAATCCTTTCTATCATACAGATCAATTATAAGAAATCCTTAAGAGCAAAGTCTTCATTTTTAAAAAAAATTGTTTTAAATATTTCACATTTCAAAATAATCATTTTGAAAAAATGATTAGAACTAAAGGCACAAAGTAACATATAGATAGCTTTTAATTCAACAAATATGTTACTATTTCAAATTCTTTAATGAAAAAAGCAATGGTGTAAGTAAATACAAATTTTGAGCCCATTTTTATTGACCTACTTTATTCAAGATAGCATATTACTTTCTTCAAGAATATTACCAAGATAGTTAAATCTTTAATTTTATCTGTCATCTATTTCTCACTGGTCATTTCTGACCTAAGTCAATCCACTCTAACAAATAATGTGGAAATTGTGAAATAAGTTCATTAAATAAAAATTTGCCAGCAGCTAAAACTATTTAGGATATTTACCATTTAGCTAAAAATCTAATCTATAATAAAACATAAATTTTATTGGCAAAGATTTTGGAAAGCTTTAATCAGCATTGGCAAAGACAATTATTTTCAACACATGCGATAAATTTTGGCTAGTACAAATTGAGTTTGTCTTCATTGAGACTACTAAGAACAATCCCAAAGGTCATTGACACATGACAATTTGCAATTTTGCAGAGGGAAATATTTGAAATGCAAGATTCAAATACATGGATGTAAAAGAGTAACTGAGCTAGCAAATAAGCCCAGCTAACCCCACAGATACATCCTCAAGTGCTTGTGGCATTTTCCCTCATCACATTCACAGAGAACTCAGTTCATCCGGGAGACACTGCCAAACAGCTGTCCTCTGACTTGATACTTCTGCATGGGCTTCATTTTATTTCCAAACTACATTTGTGATGTAGATATTATTTATTCCCATATTTCCATATTGAGATACTCAGGCTTAGATATGTTAAATGACATGACCAAGATCACTCACTGTGAAAGTGACGGAGCCAGGATTAGGGCCACATCTGTATGACCTCAGAGGCTATGCTGTCAACCATTGGCCACTGAGCTGTTTTTAAAGATAAGTCAGGTCCAGGCTGGGGTTATAGCTCAGTGCTAGAGTGTTTACATAGAATGTAAGAGGCACTAGGTTAGCCCCTCAGCACCATGAATGAATAAATAAACAAACAAACAAGATGTATTTTGTCCATCTACAACTAAAAATATTTTTTTAAAAAAAACATTAGGTCCATGTCACTTCAGCAATAATGTCATGCACTATAGTACAGGGCTTTAATAACATGATTTTACTTGCTTAATAGTTACATTAAACCTCACTTTTATACCCAGGAGGGTGTGGAGAGGGTTACTTAAATTTTTCAGTTTAAGAACCTGGATTCTGAAGAAAGACTGTCCAGGTTATGAGTCATGTGACTTTGGGCCCATGACTTCAGCTTCCCGAGGCAAAAAATGGAGATAATTACAGAACCTGCTTAATGGGGTTGTTGTAAGGATTAAGTGAAATAATATCATGTAAAGCTGATAGCAGGTACCAAGAGTGTTGGTTATTATTGGAACTATGTGGCTTCCTAGGGAGAAAACCATTCATTCTGTTGTTATGAAAGTTTAGGATCTATGAAGAGCTTAATGAAGAAACTTCTATGGAGAGAAAAAATAGATATCTATGAAGAGCTTAACATGTATTTTTTCTCTATATAGAAATTTCTTCATCTCCATTGCTTTGATTTATTACCTTTATTATATCAGTGCTCGAACTGCCTCTAGTGATATAATGAATTTAAAATTCAGAATATACATATTTATGTGGATTAGAATTATTTAGAATTCAGAATCATTAGAATATTTAGAATTTAAAATATCTATCTTATGAAAATTAAGTAAGATTAAAATGAGATAATTTGAGATAGGAAGCCAAATGACTATATCACAGTTTGTCCTAAGATCCAACTCTTTCCAAAATGCTATTAAAGTATTTCTGAGGATTTAAACTTGACTTTGGCAAGGATGCTTAAGTGCTAGAGCACCTTGTACTTTTTCCTAGCATCTGGAAGAAGGTGAATGCTGCAGATCTTTGTCTTCATGGCAACTTATTTGAGAAAAAGGTAAATTATCAAATAGATGCCTACATAAATCTCAATTCATAACGTTATTATGCTCCAAGAATCCCTTCCCTTCAGACAGAGCAGTCGTCCACATGTTAAATCCCTATGCATCATCAGCTCACAAACATAACTGAATTAAGAAAAGGCAATGAGAAACATGGTATGATAGAAAGATGTATCAGCAGGGTTTATCAGAGACTATACATTTGAAAGAAAAAGAGCAGTTTACTTCTAAATAAAGCAAGGAACGCATTCATAAATGTTAACTTTGTTAGACAAATGTTAGATAATATTAGACAAATATTAGTAACCCAAACATCAAGAGGTGGGAAGACTGAGCCCAAAACATACTTAGACAAGGAAATTCTCATTTTTAAAAAGTAATTATTTAAACATCATTATAGGTAGCAGAATACAACAGTCACTAATATGGCAGTATGTAAAAATGTGGATGTGTAACCGATGTGATTCTGCAATCTGTATTTGGGGTAAAAATGGGAGTTCATAACCCACTTGATTCTAATGTATGAAATATGATATGTCAAGAGCTTTGTAATGTTGTGAACAACCATTAAAAAAAAGAGTAAATGTGGAGTCATAAAAAACGTTTTCATCAGAAAAAAAAATGAACATCATTATAAAATCAGATCATCAATACTCTATTATACAGGAAATTAATGGAAATATGAAATGCATAGTAGGCACTCAATAAATAGTAATGTAATTGAGTGATAATCAAAAGTTAATTCTTGCCACATACAGACTAGATACAAATAAAACTGAGAATTCCCACAGTTATTGTTGAATACATTTTTTAATCTTTTTGTTTTATTTTTGAGACTGGGCTGCTCGGTGGTCTAGAATTCATAGGCACCAATAATGATCTTCCCAATGACTTGGGAATACAGGTGCCTGGCTGAATGTATTTTTCAAAAGGGCTTAGGTTCTCCTTTATGAAGAATAGCACTGAGATTAACATAATGAATAAGTTTAATCAAGGCATCCACTAAGAAAGAGAGTGAAATTATAGTGGTAACAAGAAGAGTATGAACTCTTTATTGCATTAAGGAATATCTAAAGATTTAAACTGGCTAAAGAGAAAGGAAGGACTTAAATGAAAATATAAATGTATTCACTATAAAGAATGCCCTTAAATAAGGATGTTTTCTTTTTCAATGTGATAATTTTCTACAATGTTCTGTATCATTCAAAGTGTACAGTAATTTGAGTCAGCCAACAGCACCTTTAATCCATGGGGCATTCACAGCAGATGAACAGTGGTAGTGATTATCCACAACTGCTTATGATGGTTATGACTGAAAGATCAAGATTCCTCATTAGAAAAACAAGTCACATTTATTAGAGCAGCTGTTAAAGTAATAGTTTACTTTTCTCAGGTCTCTTTCCCTTTCTTTCACAAAGTAGATGAGTTTACAAAGTCCCAAAGAATTTTGTTACCTGGGTGGTGCCAACGCCCACACATGTATCCTTTAGAATGAAATAATGTGTACGGAAAGCTTCCTAGTACCTCTCAGTTGTCAAAATACCACCATTCAAAGAGTCTATTAAAAAGAGTATTGCATCAACATTGGCAACAAAATATATGTACAATGTTCCTCAATGGCTAGACAGTTATGAAATGTGGATTGAGCTGTTGAGCAGAGAATGAAGAAAATCTAGTCTAACTCTTCAACTTCTTTATCCTTCAGGTCTCAGAATTGGTGTCTTTGCCTTCAAGAAGCAATCTCCTTCTCCCAGTTTGGTCCGGGGCCTCCTTGTCTTCCACAGCACTATATGCTTCCCTCTTACAATCAGAGCACTTATGGCTTTGTTTTCTTCAATAGGCAGAGTGTTCCACTGGGACAAGGACTGACTTTTCATAATATTCAAAAGAGCCAATACAAAGAAAGGTTCTTACAAAGTACTTAGGAAATGTTTACAGAGTCAATGAAGAGACTCAGTTCAGAGTTGTATTCTTCCCTCTTGTTTTACAAGCAGAGAAAGCACAGATCCTCTCATCTTCTCATTGAAGTGCAAAGATATAATAAATGCTGTGCAAATGCTAAAGATATTAGAACATCTTAAAAATTACAGTGCAGTCTGACAAGTGTTACTAAAGGAAAAAATATGAAGGATGAATAAAAGTAGAAAGTGTACACCTAGCAGATAAAGCTTCATAGGAAGTGTGACAGCTGATGGACAGTGATGGATGAACCAACCCAGGAAAAAACATTCTAGGCACAGGATCATGGGAAACATGGTGTGTACAAAAAATGAAGTGGCTTCAAGGTAGACATATGACAAAGGGCATGGACTGTGACAGATACCAAAGTTGGCAAGATAGATTAAAGCAGCTTGTGCTGTGTGTGCTGAGGAATCAGGAACAGGAGTTTACATTCAATGAAATGGGAACCAAGACTTTTAAGCAAATGAGTAATCAGATCTAGTTAGACAAATTATCATAAAAGAAAATGTATCCATTCACTAAAGTTTGAGAAACTACCAGTAATGATGTTGGTCTCCGGTTGAGTACACTGAAATAAATGACCACTAGCTAAAATAAATGGGAGAAAAAGTAAAATTAACAACATAAACATTTCCTTTCCCTAGAATGCTTACACCCTACTTTTCTGATAGAGATTTGTCAAATCCTTCAGAAAATTAACTTCATATTTTCCTGAAGCTTAACCCTCAACAGATTCTTGGTATCTCATATTCATAATAATCTCGTAATAAGTTTTCCATACCTGAGACACTCTGCCTGTTGGAATCTGAGTCCCCATTGCTGGAGTTAGAATTGTTGGAGGAGTTGTTGTCAACCCCTCCCAGAAGGGGGCGCAAGTGGCTTACTGAGACTTGTTCAATGAACGATGTTCCGTATTTGCGAAAATACCACCATTCAAATATCTAGAATATAAAAACAGTAAGGATATTTATCTCTTTTTACCATTTATGATTTCTGTACATAAAATTTGTTTTCCAATTCTGTCCACCTTCCAAAAATTGACTTAGTTTATCCTAACAGTCAAAGATCTTAATAAAATTAATATACCAATAATATTGAAAGTTCACAAAGTGATTCTCTCTGCTGAAGACTGGTTTTCAAAAAAGTTATGTAACTATAATCATGGATTAAAAATATTGTATTATTATCCAAAGTACATGTATGAAGACACGAATTGGTGTGGATATATTTGGTATACAACCAGAGATATGAAAAATTGTGCTCTATATGTATAATAAGAACTGTAATGTATTCCACTGTCATATATAAAGAAAAAATATTTTTAAAAAAACTAAATAGCAGATCATTTTTAAATGTATGTGTATGTGATACGATTTTAAAAGCATGAGAGAGAGAACCCAAATTATAAAATTCAGAATAGCAGTTGATATTTAGCAAAGAGGGATGAACTTGAGGAATAGGGACACACAGCTTCAATGTTATTGGTAATATTCTAGGTTTTAAGGCTGGTTTGGGATTCTAGGGTCTTTGTGATTAAGCTTTACATCCTACACATGTTATATGTATTCTCATTTATATAACAATATTTGCATATTTTTAAACCTTGGTTTGCACAATAATAAGGATCTAAAAATGGTARGAGCCTTGGAAATTGTTCACAGAACTTAATAAATTTATTTTACTTTTAATATGGAAATTAAAATAAAAATAACAAACACAAAAAACATTGTTAAGATGTTCTATATTAGTTTCCTCCAAATTAATATGATATTCAAATAATAAGATCACTTTAGCTGAAAGACTGCCAGAAATGAATCCGAGTAAGCCACTTTTCAAAGTATAGCTCACTATATTTCCAATTTTGACATTTTATATTCATGCAAAACATTTTTTTCTTTTTGTCCCAGGGCATGAACCCAGAGACACTTAACCACTGAGCCACATCCCCAGCCCTTTTTAACATTTTGAGACAGGATCTCACTGAGTTGCTTAGTGTCTCAGTAAGTTGCTGAGGCTGCTTTGAATTCTCGATCCTCCTGCTTCAGTCTCCCAAGCTACTGCAATTACAGGCATTCACCTGCCTGAATTTTTAAGAGAAGTCCCCCTCCTCCTTTTTAAAACAAGATCTTAGAGAAATGTTGGTTTTACTGAATAAAACAATAAGAGACGGGTAGAGACAATGACCCACATCTATAGTCCCAGCTACCTGGCAGGAGGATTACTTGAAACCGAGGAGTTCAAGGCAAGCTTGGACAATATAATGAGACTCTGTCTCAAAAAAAAAATTAAAATATAAAAAGAGAATGAGAGGGCTGGGGATGTGGCTCAGTGGTAGTAAAGTGCTTGCCTGGCATACATGAGGCCCTGGGTTCAAAACCCCAAGCATGAAAAAAAAGAGAATGAGAGATCATTTCCTGTATGGATGTCACCCACCTGCTGAAATCAAGCAATGTTCCACTTGTTAGGGAGTATTTTTTTAAACAAAAAACATTTGCTCTGTACCATTAATGTTTCTTAGTTCTGTATGTATGAAGAATTGCAAAGGAGAAAAGAAGTAATGTTTATTAATAAAATGAAGGAACAAAGTTAGTTAGTTGACCAGGCAGAAGCCAGGACTTCCTAAGCTGCCACCACTCCATTACCTGCACCCCACCTCTACAGCCAATACTTCCTACCACTGAACAAAGCTGCTCCCTCTCATACTTGCCTCTCCTCCCTTTGACTGGGGACTTGGTCCTTAAGCAGTCAATTTCTTTCTCAGAATTATTTATTAGAATCCCCTATATCCCAGAAACTTATAGAATAACTATACTATATTTAGTACTATAACATGGAAGGTGCAATTGACATAGAATTAATTAATTTATCCTTACTTATTTTATAGAAACAGTATTTTGTTATTTGCTCTTGAATAAACTTTAGGCTATTATTTAAAAGCTGATGTTTTGTTGTACCAAAAATTTCTTAAAAGACAAAAAGAAAATCTATGAATATGAGAAGAAAATATCAATAAGACCAAATGTTTCCAATCCTATAATAGGACATCTTGATTTAATTCCAGGGAGCTGTTCCTGCCAGCTATTTGAATTTTCACATGTTAAGACATTTAAATAAACTGGGCACAGATGCACACACCTGTAATCCCAGCTACTTGGAAGGGTATGACAGGAAGATTGCAAGTTTGAGGCCAGCATAAGCAACTTAGAGAGGCCCTGTCTCAACACTTTTTAAAATGTGGTGGGTGTTAGAAATATAGCACAGTGGTAGAGCACTTGCTGAGCATATATCCTAGCCCTGGTCCTAGGGGTTCAATCCTCAGTAAAACACAAATACACACACACACACACATAGTAACTTCTCTGGGCAAAGTAGGGGCAATAGTATGACAGTTAAGAAGGGACAGGACCAATMTGTAATGTTTGAAATTCTAGGAATGAGAGATTTTGCTTGAAGGAAAAAAAAAGTAAATTTACAGACCATGGATCCATAAGGGAGTCCATAACCCCAGATGAGTTATTTAAATATCAGTTCCTTCAACTCTGAAGTAGAAATGATATTATTTATCCTCAAGGGTTCTCAATTTTCACACCAACCTTATATTAAAAAAAAAAAAACTACTAAGTACCTGACACATAGTTGGTCCTCAAAAGCAATAACAAAGCTGCCATCTGTTATCGCAATGATGTACATGCCTCCTATGGCCTATATACATGCACTGCTATGACACACCCTTTTTTTTTTTTTTTTTTTGCCAGTCCACAGTACAGGTTTATACATCATTGTCTTGCTAGACTGTTAGAGGAAATCCCTGATTAATCATGGTGACAAAGAGTGCAGCTCACCATACAGTCCTGACCTTTCAACAAAGCCTTAAGGAAATCTACACCTTTTCTTCTATTAGAAGGGGAGGAAGACTCCAAAGAACCCAGGCCACTGGTCACAGAGCTGGCAGTGGCTCTCAATTGCTTGTAGGGAAGAGGCTTATTTGCCCCAACTCTTTGCTCTGCTTTCTATGTCACACTACCAGGGCACCTGCCAGCACTTTATTTGCTCATTCCATTAGGCTCTACTAAGTGTTTCCAACCAGTCATGAGCTAAGTTCCAGGGTTACAAAAATTCGATCCCTGGTCCATGCCACAGACCAACAAATCCTCCCACAGGTTGCTCCTGGCATGCCTGTACTGGTCACAGAGAAAAAAAATGTTGAGATTCTTCAGATTTCTCAGTTCCTCTGGCAGAACCACAGAATGTCAGCACTAAAACGAACCTTAAAGGACATGTAAAGACTTCATTTACATGTGAGGAAAATATGTGAGAAAAAACTATCCATCAAGATGCAGACCTGACCAAATCACGCATCTAATTAAACAGCCTTGGCCTGGAGTTCCAGCTCTCTGCCATCCCTATCAGGACTCTTTTTAGAATGCCTTTGCTTCATGTAAACAACACTGACAATTGTAGCCTACTATTTCCCTTTAAGTTCCCTCTGACACATTCTCTCTGTGCTTTGTTGTTATAAAAACCAATCCAGAAGTAGTCTATAAAGTGGTACTAGATAATTCATCTGAGGGGCAAATGACTCATTTAACTGGACATTTGCATTATAATAGAATAGACCTTTCACCCAGTATTTCTAATGCAGGAATAATAGACCTTAGTAAAGACTGGGTTATTCAGGCAGCTGTGATGGGGAATAGAGGGTTTCTCAGGCTGTCATATCATATCAGGAGTATAGCCCTTGCTGTGCACAGAGGACACTAGTATAAAAAGGACCCCTGTCCTTCTGGGATTTGCTGAATAACTAGCAAAGGAAGATTTGAAACCTTCTGAAACTTCAAACCACGTCTTATAATGTAAGGTCTTAGTATAACAATCTTCCCCTTATCCAGAAACACAACAGATTTTGGATGAGCACCTAGAACTATTTTAGAAAAGCTACACACGTCCAAATGGGAATACAGTGTTATTTAATGTACATACATTTGGTGTCACTTTGAATTCTTTTCCTTATGCATACCTACAATATGAACAGTAAAGCTCTCATAAACAAACTGAGGTTTTAAAAGTAGTTATTGGACAAGTTAGTAGCTTACTGGGCCTGCCACAGAGGAATAAAAAACCTTTCTAATCTGCCAGATAAACAAAAACTTAAATGTATGCATTTTATAGACTGAAAACCTTAATTTCTCCATTTGAAAAGTTATACAGATCAAGTAAGATAAGAATTAAAAAGTATCATCTGGGTTTGGCATTGGGAAGTCAACAGTGACCCTACCAGCTAGTTTAAAGGTAAAAGGCCTTTCAACGAGAAAACTTGGTTTTGTGACTTGATTGGTCCTATTGTTTCTCTGAAACTCAGTCTTCTCATGTATAAAATAAAGTCAGAGAAAGCACTCAACTAATTCTGGATGAGAGAAGGGAGAGAGGGATGATTAGAAGACCTGATGGTGGATGCTGGAAGGTTGACAGGGTGGATGATAAGGGATGCTCTGGTTGATGTTATGGGATACTCTCTGAAGCAACAGCAGAATCATGGGAAGTTTTGTGTTTATTTTGCTTGTTGAAAAAGAGGTTCACACATATTTGTGGAAGAGGAAAGAATCCAATGAAAAGAGAAACTGAAGGTGGAAAAGGTATAAATGACCAGGAGGCATAATGCCAAAGTCCCGGGAAGCACATTTGCCCTACCTCAAAAAGTAACCTACAATGGAAAGTGGGCAGTGATTTGAGCTGTTACACACATAAGAAGGCAACAAATGGGGAGCTGTGGCTGGAGCCCAGGGGCAGAGCACTTTCCCTAGCATGTGTGAGGCACTGGCTTCGAGCCATAGCACCACATTAAAATAAATAAATAAAATAAAGGCATTTTTTCCATCTACAACTACAAAAATATACATTTTTTAAAGAAGGCAATAAAGGAGATAAAGTTGGATGACACTGA